CGGTCAGTAAACATTCAGTATTGTTATAAACTCTCACTAAAGGCATGAATGGGGATTGAACCCATGATCTTTGGTTTACGAGACCAACGCCTTACTACTTGGCCACCATGCCTGCTTTGGGAATGAGGAGGAGAAAATGCATCATCTATCCAGCCACTACCCCTTCTCGGGTGCCTTGTCAGTTAAGTTTAGTACAGTTGGATTTTAATGCTTAAACTCTGTCACTAGGAGCACATGGAGATATTACGTGGATTAAATCACTACCTGGACCAATACTTGTCTTCGAGTATGGTTAGATTACTTTCTGAGCCATGTTTTCTGTTATTAACTGTCAATAACACATTCGTTGGTGCCTTTCCTTCCTCAAGAATTCTAACTATAAGATTACTTTCTGCAACACAGAGACAGTAGTCTCTGAACATCACCAAGTGACTTTAAACATTGGTGATGCCTAACAGAGGTTTTTATTTGCAGCAAAGCTTAAAAACTATGAAACAATCAAGACAGCAACTTTGGTAACTTAAGTAATGCCTTGTGATGTGGCATATAGCATGCAACACCTCAAGGAAGCACTAAGGGCATGGATGGGGATTGAACCCATTCTACTTGGTATAAGACACCAACGCCTTACCACTTGGCTACCACACCTGGATGAAGCACACTGTTGTTTACTCCAACTTTGACCCCATTACCTGGTTGCTGCAGCAGAAATTAATATACATTAGAACAGCAAACAAACACCGTGCCTTTGAAATCACTTTTCTATGTTTTTGGATATTCTACTATTTTGCCTGAGTGGTGGAACTTCAAGTTCTTCTCCTGCTTATTCCATCTGGTTCTAGCTTTACTGCGTTTTCCATTCAGAGACAATCTTCTGCACACCTTGGTTGCAAAGATTTTGGAAATTCTGATGTCAAAGACAAAAACTGTTTACTTTGCCGATTCAAGAAAGCTCCATTGAAGAAGACTAGAAAGTCACATTAGGTTGTAGAGGACATCATAGGATATATCATTACTACCAGTGAAACTTTAGCATCAATGTGACATTAACAATACAAGACACTAAACATGGAAGACCTCCTTTGTAGGAAGGCATGGATGGGGATTGAACCCATGATTTTTGGTTTACGAGACCAACGCCTTACCACTTGGCCACCATGCCACTGTTGTCACACTCTTTTGTCATACTTAAGGGTGTTGTCAGACATGGTCCATGTTTATTGTAGACAGTTGACAGGAATTTGTCTTAGTGTGGTCACATATACAACAGATCACATCCAAAAACAAAGAATAAAGCACGTCATCATGCAGAATACAAGAATACAACTAACATATTAAGAAAATAGAAATACTGCAATATATCAGGGTACAGAATCTGTACCCTGATTATTACCCAACTGAGCATTTCACTTGTTGAAGACTAAACTTTGGAAAGAAAGGTCAGAAAGGTCCTTAAACAAACAGCAACTGAAAGCTGCTGCAGTAAAGGTCTGGCAGAGCATTAAAAAGTTGGAAAAGCAACTTCTTGCAATGTCAATAATTTCAAGACTTGCCAGCAAAGGGTTTTCAAACAATAATTAGAAATGAACATTGTATTTTCACTTATTTAATTTCTCCATTTACTTCTGAGCCCCTGAAATGAAGGGATTGTGTTGAAAATACTTTACTGCCTCATATTTTCATGCAATCCTTTCGTTCAACCCTTTGAATTCAAGGTGAAAGTCTCCACTTCAGCTGCATCTGAGTGGTTTCATTTAAAATTGAATGTAGTAATATATAGAACCAACATTAGCAAAGAAAGTTGTCTTTGCATTTATTTGCTGATGAGGCACTGCCATGTCTTTCTTTCAGCTAAAAGTTTGCTCCCTACGGCTCCGCCTCCACAGACCCCTAACCTTACCTCTACTACAGCTGCCAATCAACCGTCTTCACCTGCTGGTGCAACAGGTGCTTTTCAGGTCAATCCTCTTCCTTCTTCCTCCTCCTCACATGAGCGGAGAGACAAACACAGCAGGAGGAGGAGAGGAGAGAGGAAAGGTGAGAGTAGAGTGAAAGACAAAGTCAAATAAAATGAGATAGCAAAAAATATAAATAAAATTACCTACTCTCTTTGTCTACTCAGCTCGTTCAACCTCGGACCTTCTTTCCCTGGGGATGGAGTCACAGGTTGACGTGTCACGACTTGACCTGAGGGTGGGACGAATCCTCAGCGCCCGCGTCCACCCGCTGGCCGAAGCCATGATTGTGCAGGAGGTGGACATGGGAGAAAACAGCTCCCGGACGGTGGTTAGTAAGGTGGGACAGGAAGCAAAACCTGAGGAGGTAATGTGACTTTATACTGAAAACTATCATCAACTTTGTTATTGCTTTAAATAGGCTATATACAGTATACTAAATGAAAATACGATATTAATGAAAAATATTATTGTTATTATTTTACATTTACATTTTTTGTCAGAGTACTGAAATTTTTTTCCAGTAAGTATATTGATGACATTTTAATTTTTTAAATTAATATTGTTTTTTTAAAAAAATATTATTACTTAATAAAAATTATAAATGTATAATTTGCCCTTAACATATACTGCTTAGCATTTCGAGTATTTTTTACTTTTCTACTAAATAACTTCTATTTAAATAGTTTCTTTCTCTCTGTAGCTTCAGGGCTCCTTAGCTGTGTTGCTATGCAACGTCAAGGCCTGTAAGCTGAAGGGCGTGGTCTCCCAGGCCCGCCTCCTCTGCTGCTGCATCTCGGATGACTGTGTTGAACTGTTAGTCCCGCCCACAGGCTCCACCCCAGGAGACAGGGTCACTTTTCTCAACTACCCTGGTAACAATGTAGCATTAAAATATATGAACACAGTGACTGAGTTAAGCAGAGTTTTAAAAGCAGTTTATAGAAGTGATTGTAACTCAGATTAAACAGGCGCAGGGCAATCGTGGCTCAAGAGTTGGCATTTTGTCTTGTAATCGGAAGGTTGCCGGTTCGAGCCCCAGCTTGGACAGTCTCGGTCTTTGTGTCCTTGGGCAAGACACTTCACCCACTGCCTACTGGTGATGCCCAGAGGGGCCGATGGTGTGATATGGCAGCTTCGCTTCTGTCAGTCTGCCCCAGGGCAGCTGTGGCTACAGCTATAGCTTGCCTCCACCAGTGTGTGAATGAATAATAGAAGTGTACAGTGCTTTGAGCTTCTCGAAAAGCGCTATATAAATGCAATCCATTATTATTTATTTCTCTGCCGACAGTTTTTAAAGCTTAAACTGACTAAAGATTCTGATACCATCTTCTCAAGCATGAATATAAAGAAGAAAATGCTGCTGAAATTGATCAATTTGTTTTTAAATTAGACTTAGTTTTTCCATAATGTCTTTTGCGGGTAAATCAGCAGGTACTTTCGGTAAATAGTGCAGGGGTCTCAAACTCCAGTCCTCAAGGGCCATTGTCCTGCAACTTTTCCATGTGTCCCTGCTGCAACACACTTGCATGCTGAGGTGGCAGTTCAGCCATTTGATTCTAGTTACAGCAGCTCATGAGTGAATAAACATGGTGCAATAAAAGTACTTTTAGCTTTCTTACAACAAGCCTCATTTGCACATACATTCATGTAAAAAAATTTTTTCTCCCTAACCCAACATTCAAACGCTGGTGGACATATGAGGGTTCAGTATAATGCTAAGAATACTTTGATATCTAGAACAGAAGCCAGGGATCTAACCACCGACCTTCTGATTAGCAAGTGACTTGCATCATATCATTTTAAAAAGTTATTGTCTAAAAATGTTAAAAATAAAGTAAACATCAATGTCCACAAGTTTCTATACTTTTCTGACCCAAAGAAGCAAAGCAATAACAAGTATAACTGAAAAAATCACTGGAAGCTGCCACTCAGCAAAGAATTCAACCAATCATTCGAAAGTGGGCTTAAAGAGAAAGGAGTTAAAGTAGGTTGTGTCAGACAGAGGATCCATCCATCCATTCGCTTCCACTTATCCTTCTCAGGGTCGCGGGGAGCACTGGAGCCTATCCCAGCTGTCATAGGGCGAGAGGCGGGGTACACCCTGGACAGGTCGCCAGTCTGTCGCAGGGCTAGCACACAGGGACAGACAACCATTCACACTCACATTCACTCGCACATTCACACATTCAGAAAGAGGATGCATAACCATAATAGAGATTTATAGTAATGTATCTGGAGAGCTAGAAATAATTGATTGACATGATCTTTTTTCACTTTATTCCTTATGTGAATTAAAAGAAATCAAATCATTTGACTCTTCGTGAATGACTGAAGACATAAAAGATGTACTTTAATTCATCTTGATGCAAATTTCTAAAATATGTTATAAACCAAAGAATATAGACACAGATTAAATTTTTTGGGCTCTGGTGTAACAACGACACAGATTTGCATCTTACTACTAAACATTAACAAAGTAATGATCATTTTCAGGACGGGAAGAAATCCAATCATGTCGTTGTCAGTTAAAACCTTGATAGTTAGTTGCAAGAAGCCATAGTTTGTTGTGCCTGTGAATAAAATACATTTGTTAAATTAAAAAGTAGGAGATAAAGTCCATGTTTTGTATCTGCACCACAAAAACATTTGGGTTTTTTTCACTTTCCTTCACTGTCTTTCTCTTCCCGTGTTCAGGTGAGCCGGACAAGGAGCTGCAGTCCAAGGAGAAAGTTTGGGAGCTTCTCCAGCCGGACCTGCAGGTCGATGGCAGGGGCGTGGCCAATTACAAAGGATGTAGCTTTGAGGTGAAAGGCAAGGGGCTGTGCCGGGCCCCCTCCCTCACCAACTGCATCATCAGATAGAAGTTTGTGTAACTGTGAAAATCCTGTGCAGCACTGCGGTACATGCTTACTGTGACTAAGCACCTGTTTCTTCAGGTGTTTTGTAAATGAAGAGTTTAACAAACTTGTCACTGTGTGGTGTCAGTGGTCTCTGTTCAAACACAAAGCAGTTAAAGCAATACCGAACACTTTAAGTGAATAATAAAGCAGCCATAAGAAAGAAATACATAATTTCTTTCCACAAATAACTTTATGTGATAAGAAGCTGACTTCAGATTTAAAGATTAACCAAATAAAGGCCCCGCATGGTGTCAGACAGAGGTCCTGATGGTCAGAGCCCTGTGATGGTTCTTGGCTGAGAGGCAAAGAATTTGGTCTCTGAGTGGTCGCCCTCTGACTGACGACCAATCACTGGTGTTATCTAGGAACCAGACCCCGCCCCTTATTTCCCCAGCCAGATTTCTGAGCCAGCCAGTAAAGGGCTGGGCGAGGTAGGCTGAAGGCTGAAGCCCCGTCTCTCTCAGGTGGTCAGAATGCGTGAGGATAAGTATGGAATGCTGATGCCATTCTGGACCAAGGAGCTTCTGAAGGCCAAAATACAAACACAGAAAACAAGCACAGTTAGCAGATGCAGACAATGCTGTTAAAAATAACACAAGATGACCATGAGCTCAGGGGCCTGATATCCGAGTCACAGAGCGCAGTACCTCTGCATGCTGCTGCAGGTGTTTGCCTTCGTGCGGCAGGTCGGCTCTCACAACGATGCCGAGCACATGCACGCCTTCAGGGCAGAGTTGGTGGATGCTCAGTGGGTCAGGCACTCCAGGAGGCGTGTCAACAATTCTCAGCATCATGTCAGTCTCCACCCCCTGTCTTCTGAAAAAGCGTGGAAAAGTGCGCCAGAGGAGGCGACACTCAGTGGTCACACCTGAGATGCTTCTTCCTGTTTGGAATTCGTCTCCACCTGTCAGATGCAAAAATCTGTAGTATTTTTTTTCATCCTTAGCAAATCACGTTTAGTGATTTTACATGATTAAGTTAATTTATCATTGTGTATGTGCTATAAGGAGAAAGGTGATTCTAAATAGAGCTTGTCCATAATTTTACATTTCTTATGTTCATCATATTTCTTAAATGAACAAGAACCAACTTTCAGGGCTTAAAAAATTAAACCTGCAGTTTCTCTAATGTCCACTTGAGGCTGATTTCAAAAGAGTGTCAGTTTCCAAAGGCTCCCATGTTAAAATGTTAACTTTACAGCAGAAACAAATGTTTTTACAGCCTGATACAAAGAACAATTTTGGTTTCTATTTTTCCTTTTTATACTATGTTTCCAGTTAAAGGCACTGGCGCTAGGGACATGGCCTCTTTGCCTGCAAGGTTGACTCTGAAACAGGTGGCTAACTGAAGTGTCTGAACTGTGAAATACTGTAGCTTTCTTGTGTGGCAAAGCCCATTCAAGGAGTTTGTGCTTCAGTTCTGGTATACCAGTCTGCACCAGCATTGCACCTGTACAGGACACTGGATCTAAACAAACAAGCATGGGTGTGGCCAAACTTCAAAATATGGAGTCCAGACTCAGTGGCAATTTGGGAAATGTTTCTATGGATACACCATCAAAAGAGACATAAAGCAAAATGTATTTAAAAGAAAGTTCTGTAGAAGGACTGACCAAGAAGAGCATTCCCCACAGAGCTCCTCCCACTCTGAGGGCCGCCTAGCAAAACCACGTTCAAGACCAGCACGTCCCTTTTGCCATCACCATGATGATTAACCCACCTGTTGAGGAAATCAAAGAGGCTGTTTCCAGGTTGACCGTGTTCAGCTTTGAGAGCCATCTGAAAAAACAAAGTCTTCTGAATACACGTCTCACAGTGTTTAATATAAAAGTCACACAGTGTTTAACACTGATTATTGTTTATTTCTAAAGACTTTTCTCATTCAATGTCATATTGTGAGATTTGATATAAATACTTTACAACCTCATACAAATATCAGGTATTAAATCAACAGATTTTAAGCTTTTTTGTTTAATTTCATAGTGTTAGATGCAACACACAAAGGTTAAAGGCAGGGCGAGAGCTTTGTTATACAACACGAACAAATAAAATACATTTCAAAAAGAGATTTTATGTAAAACTTTTATTCCTATTTAATCTCATTATAATAGGCTGGATGGTTTCTTGATAAAACAATAACAACACATACATTAAGTTTATAGGTACATAAATATTTCTGGCTTTCTTCGAGCTTTGCACCTGTCAGTACTCAGCTAAGGTCAGGACTGAGTAGTATCCCAGACCGATCCAGTTTGCATCCAACAGAAGTCGAAGGACAAACGGGTGGAGCTATAAAATTCATTAGTCAAAGTTTTATTGAGACATTATTTTATTCTAATTATAAAAAAAACCTCATTACACTAACTAACCTTTAAGAAACAGGTCTCATAGGGTCATGAACAGTAATATTTTCTTTAACTTAAAGGCTTTGAAGCTGTAGTTAAACAAAAGTGAGTCTTACCTGCTTTACTTTACCAGGAGAGGCAAAAGGTTCAAGGACTGCATATGCTCGATATGGGAGGTTGAATGTGTATTTACGGGAGTGGTTACTGGTTAAACTATAACTTGCCGGTCCTATCTGTGCCTTGCTGCAGTTTTATTGGGTCATAAAAGCAACAAACATCCGTGCAATTCCTGACACTGATGTTCCCTGTGTTACCTGTTGTGATTAAATCTTCTGTCAGCTTGCATCAACTAAAACCAACAGGCAAACAGAATTCATGACTTGTAAATAATGAAGCAGGTTTTAAGGGAAATCATCTACTCTCAGTTTTTCCTGAAAAAGTCAAATGAAAAGACATTTTATGACAGACTGCAGCTCATTGATAATACATCGCTCATTCATCACTGATTTACAATTTGTTCACGGTAATTGGAATTACAGTGAACCTCCGTATAGTTACTGTAATGTAGATTTAAAGTATTTAACTATTTAACTTAGCTTACTATAATGTTGTAAAATGGTACTTACACTGTAAACACCTGCAAATTACAGTATAATGGTGCAATTCGTTACATGTATTATTTTTATGTCTTTAGACTGAAAAGTACTCACGGTGTGTTGCCATCAGTGTTGGGTAAGTTACTTTAAATTAGTAACTTAGTTACATTACTAGTTACTTCTATCAAAAGTAACTCAGTTACTTCAAGTTACTCGTTACTTTCAAAGTAACTAGTTACTAGGGAAAGTAACTTTGGTTTTACTCAGAATTCTCTTGTTAATGTGTTGCTTCCGTAACTGGATACCCAGCAAGATTGCCAGTCTTCTAGCTTGCTTACTTGCCACAAGTGCACTGTGCCACCTACCAATAGAAAGGAAAAAATAATGTGCACATTTCCACGAGAGAAATCCCACGCCTGATTCTATCCTAGCCTGCTTTTTACATCCAACACAAAAACTGCAGTCGTGGTGCTTTCGATTGTACTCAGAACTCGGAAATTCTGCCTTCTGAATAGGAAGATGTAGGTAACACCAGACTGCAGATGAGCTGCATACAGGGCTGGACTGGGACAAAAAAATCGTCCCGGGCATTTTGACTAGAGACCGGCCCACCATTATAGGAAAAATCATAAAGCCTTTGAATGAAAATAAACACTGTTGTGACAGTGATGTACACTGTTCTGATGGTATATATGCATCAATCTATCAATCGTTTGTTGTAAGACTCAGATAATTATTTTTTAAAAGTGAGACATTTTAAATGAGAATAAGAAAGTATTTCCTTGTGCCCCCCTTTCCCTTTTAATGCCCTACATGGACCCCTGGCAACACTTTGCTAGACCCGCCCCTGCACAGTTACCAGCTGTCAGCTGCTTAGAAAAGGATCCTGGTGTTATTTGTCTCTCAGAAACAGTTCATAACTTCCCTTCAACTCATTCATGTCACCTAAAAGGTAAACCTGTTTCTCCATCACCTGTTCAGCTCTGATGATCCAGTAAGGACATCTCCTGGTTTCATCTTCATGTTTCCCTCTCACCAGATAACCAAACCATATCATGACCAGCAGCTTTACAGCTGTGGCTCCAGCAAACATCAGCTGATACTAGAAATTAATATTAAATAAATTCTAACAACAGCTGATCAAGCTTAAACGTGCTGCTGTTGTTTAGCGCGACATCCGCTGGTTTCCTCTTTCGGCGCAAAGTGAGCGATAAACAAACAAGAGAGCCGATCAGCTGATCATTGATCAGTTTCATGATTGAAGTAGAAACGGGAGAGGGAGGGGGAGAATGAGAGAAGAAGAGGCAGCTGTGCAGCAAAGACACAGATAACTCCAGCTTTGTGTCTTTTTCATTGTAGCTGAATTACGGGACAAACTGTTCCTTTTCACCTCAATAAGAAACGCGTAATATTTTCTCTGAATACCAGACGGGACGGTTGGCAACTCTAATAATTAACCTATGAACAAAATAAAGTTCAACATCAGTAACATAGCACCCACCCAGCTGTATAGAAACTCCGTCATGCTAGCTAGCACGCAGTACGAAAAAGTCAGCATAACGAAAATAAACTCCACCTAAACTTGGTTCATATCTGACCCAGATGGACTGCAGGTCATAACTTCTTACCTGAAGTTCAGTTCACCTGACACTCTCGGACCAGCGGCCGCTTCGGGTCTCTCCTCTTGCCTCCCTTTTCCTTCATCCACCTGCTGGCCTCCACCACTTGCTAATGTTATTGAATCTGTGGAAGCTCCGCGATAGCCACCACACGAAGTAACGAATAACGGTCTATCTAAATCCCGTACGAGTAACGCGTTCCTGGTTTTGGCATAATAACTAGTTACCGTGCTCGTTACCACAATAATAACGTAGTTACTGTAACGCGTTACTTAATAACGCGTTAGTCCCAACACTGGTTGCCATAAAACCAAAACTAACACAAAATTAATTTTAAAAACCGACTCAAAACATTAAATTTATGGTGTTACTGCCATGTCAATTTAAACATATTGGAGAAAATACAGACATGTTTAACAGTGAGCCCTTACACCAGCGGTGTGAAACATTAGACTTGGGGGCCAGTAGTGGCCTGGCAAACACTCCAATCTAGCCTGTTGGACGACTTTGGAAAATGTGAAGGAGGACATAAATTTTTAACTTTTAATTGTATTTTTTTTCTTTTAACAGATTTACAACTTTTCTTACCAATAAAGACCTGCCCCATAGCCACAGCCTCATATGACACCAAAATGATGGTTTTGTAATTTTAAACACTTTCACTTTCTTTCATTTACTACGGCTGCATTTCATTGTCATGTAGAAAAACGGAGACATATTGTTGCAATTACGCTTCTTTTTCTTACATTAAGTTAATTCGTTGATTAATTGTGTAGTTACATTTCAATACAGTAGAAGAAAGGGGATTTTTACCGGTTTGGTCCAAACATATACATATAGTAGACTAGATGTTGTCTTATATCCTGCTTTATTTCACTTTGACCATGCGGATAATAATGCAAAGTTTAAACCTTAATACAATTTTAAAAAGTAAGTTATAATAACAAAGAAATCACCCGCTGGTAATGTTAGTATGAAGGGGCAGATTAGGATTAGATCTAGGCCAAAACCATAAATGCTTAGTTTATTTTAACATGGATTCTTTGGGATGGACTCTCTGTTGGAGTCAGCCTCAAGTGGTGATTGGAGGAACTAAGCTAAGAGCTAAGAATCAGGTTATCATGAGAGCAACAAGGAAAACTTAGGAAGGAAACGAGGAACGTGACGCTCATGCAGATAAATCACCCACGCAGAATATATGTGAACAGGGAAGCTGGGAAACACATCTGGAGGGGTATGGAAAACACTGTGTGTGTTTGTTATCTTTATGACAACCATACACAGAGCGAGAACAGCTATGCCCAGCAGCTACCAGCCACAATGAAACCAACACATGTTCTTTTCTGTTGTCCTGTCCAGACCTTCAAAAGATCACAATCAATTGGAAGGAAGGTTTTAGGAAACAAACAAACAAACAAACCCTTACATGGTCATACCCACATGCCATCAGATTGTAGTTTTATTCTTGTAAACCTTTAAAACAGTTTTTTCATCAGATCAGACCTCACTTAACCTCTTTCTTTACAAACCTTTGGAGATGATTCCTTTCCCACTTTAGCTTGTGTTATCAGTGCCCATCGGCTAAGTGGAAAAACATTAAATAAGCATGTGGTCTGAGCAGATGTAGGGCTCTCTGTAACAGATATTAAAGCATGAGAAGGATGTGATTTAACCACTAGTTTTATGTACTCAAGTTAAATCTTACTGCATTGTATTGTTCAAGTGACTAGAGAGCCTAGGGATCCTTCTTACTGGTCTCCTTTCTACTTAAAAACTTTAATTTTTCTCAGTTCAGAACAGAACTCCTAATGATAGCTTTTCTGTCTAAAGTATGCTAAACGCTACTTTTAACCAAAATTGCAGCATTAGCTCTATACAAAGCCACAACAGTTTAACACATCTTAGATTAACACACAAAACAAATATACTTAAGCCCATTTTGTTGTTTAGATACACAAAAAACAAATAAGAACAACAATCACAGTCACAACTTACATTTATTATGATGTTAGCTAACTAGGCTACCACTTGCTACAAGCTAACTGCTACTAAACAATAACAAATCCAATAGAAATGGGCATCTTACAAGTATCCCAACAATAATGAAACAGAAAAAATAACTGATTATGATTGGAAATGACAGCTTAAATCTTGTGGGTTGTTATCAGACATTACACTTTCCAACATGGCATACTTTCAGCCATATAGCTTAAAAGGTAAATCTTAAGGAGTTCAACTATGTTCAACTTAGATTGACAAATAGTTTTATGTTACATTACAATTTCCTTTATAATTGCTGGTATAAAATCAGCAGAGTGCTACAACCAATTAAATCTGATACATATTTACACCAACATTAACTCAAAAATATACAGACACCACTTACAGGAAAGTAATTCCTCTCGACAGCCTCAGACCTGAAACTTGAGGATGTTTTTAAATGTGTTTGTGTAAAAAACTGTTTGAATTATTTTATTGAATTATTTTGTCTTTTTTTTTGGAATTTTTGGTTCCTTATTTTATCATTACTATAAATTTTCCTAAAGAAAATTTTAAATTTGGAGGTTCTTGGTATAATTTCGTGCTCCAGCATCAAGCACATTATTATTTTTTTAGATGCCTCTGATTTGACAAAAGAAGAGAAGGTTAACGTATTTGAGGCACTGTTTTGGAACATTATTTTATTGTAACATTATATAACTACAAATGTATTTTCTCAGAAAATTTAGCGCTTGGGTCTCTGAAGTCCAATAGGTTAGAGTAATATTTGCACCTCTTGAGTGCTTCAGTTGAAAATCATCACCTAGTTTAACACCTGTAAAAGCTTATTTTCTTTTTTCTTTACAGGTTGAAATTGTGGAGAAGTGTTTGAAGATTGAGTTCAGTATTCCTTCTTAGTTTTAATTCAACGTTTTAGCTAATACAGGTTTGTTTGATAACTATTTTTCCTCTTTAGTAACGAAGTAATGATGTTATCTTTGTTTTGGGAATATGAAAACAAAACCTTTTCATTTCAGGTTTCTTCAAAATCTCAGCACATGAATACATGTGCTGGAGGCAGTTGCAGCAGATATGCATTAGGGATCAAACACCGGTTCTTTTCGTGGTGGTGCAAATGGGGTCAAACTGGATTTCAAAGTGGTTTCTGCTTGTCTAGACACAAATGAGGAAACAAGATCTGCACCACAAAGAGTTTCACTTCCTGCTGAGTTTGCCTGTCAGTGCAGCCTGGCAGGAAGCTAATTAGCATTAGCATGTAGAAACACTGTAAGATGTAGTGGGGGAGGGGCCACGGGTGTTGTCATGCATTTAACAAGTTATGTTATTCACCCCTCCCTTCATTCCACAGGTCTTCATTTTCTGTCTCTGAGGTAAGTCATTGGCAAAAGCAGCAACTCACTAGTCCTTAGTCATTCTTTCGGTTTGTCCACTTCATTTAGATCGGTGACACACATGAAGCCTTGCCTTGGCTGGTGATGCAGAGCCTGAAGACAGTCCTGAGGAGTAGCGAGATGAGGTTGCCGAGAAGTTGAACCGTGACACTGCAGCTAGTTGGGTACCGGGTTCTCGCAGTGTCCGGCAGATGAGTCCGTCCCCACAGGGACAGCGCTGGAACAGCTCCAGGCCGTGGTTCCCCTTGCGTCGGTGTCGCGTGCAAACCTGTCCTTCACGTAGCACGGGCTTGCAGATGCGAGTCCAAAAGTGACGGGCGCAGCATAGACCGTCCAAGCAGTCGGATGAGCGCAAGCATGGATTCCCGACCTGACCTGAAACAAACACACAAACCCTTAGAGAAATATGAAGGAGGCAGGGGGAAACATACTGCGGGTTTATAACACTAATCTCACTTCTGCCAGGGGATCCTTTGGCTTCCTGCCTCCCGCCTTTCTTTTTGGTGAGCGGGCTTAGCGCTCCATCAGTGTTTGGAATCCTCTCAGACACAAAGCCGTCCACATCAGGAACACAAATATCTGCCGCAGGAAGAACATAGAGATAATACACTTGATAAAATTTTAATTATGAATAGTTTATTGTCATTAATGTTAAACTGAAGTTTTCTGTAGAGGAGCATCTAAACTGTTGCTGCAGCGGTTGGTGGGGCAACACATTGTGTCCCTGAGGCAGGGCCTCTTCCTTCTGCGGCAGGTCTTGCAGTGGGAGTGGGCAGGACGTCTTGAGGAGGTGTGACAGTAGTTCCCCTCTCTGCACTCCAGGTCACTCATGCACTGGTAGACCTGCAGACAGACACACAAACATTATTACAGAGTAAGAAATGAACCTGGTTTTCGTTTTGTAATTTAAGGTGATCTTTTCGTACTGGTGAAAAAATAGCATGAAATAACAAACGGAGGGCTTAAACTACTCTGACTTGCAGTGACAGTTGCCCTGAGCCACTTTATGTGAGATTTATACTTCTGGACTAAATCTACGCCATAGGTAAGTCTTAACTGCAGACCTCTCTGAAAAAGTAACTACATGTAACATAAACACAGTCTTCAAATATTGTGATTGGCCTGAAATCCGAATATGCATTTCTGGCTAGTTTTCCTCTGATTGTCAATGGATCATAAATGTCATCGACTCATTATAGGCTTGCATAGGCGACATCATAGGCTCAATGCAGAATTATCAGCGTTTAATTTTGTAGCACTCTTCTAAAGTACACCTCAACATTACAACTTAAAACTGTACATTGGGGCAAAACAGTCCAGTTGATAAACCAAAGAAACCTTTTATTATCCTTCCCGATGATGTTGAAAGCCAAAGAAATTTTAAAACATCATCATAGTTTTTTTTTATCATGAAAGCTTACAGCATCATAACAGCTGAGAAATGCACCTGAAGCAGTATCCTGCTGATAAAAAAGGCCAATGAACTTTTTGAAACAATGTGATGTTCTTGATGATAATGTTTAGAAACATATAAATACTATAAGTGACTGGTAACCCAGATGGTACCTGTAATTTGAAAGCGAATACAGACTTGTAATATTCCCACCAATCAAACGTTTGAAACAACAAAAAAAGACCAAAACTTCTGTCAAACTTAAGCAATGTAATCAATAATGTTCAGTCAATAAAGCTTTTGAAACATTGCAACAACACTCAAAATACATTCTCTCTTCTCTCTCTCGTCTCTCTCTCTCTCTCTGATAAATATATATAATATCAGATTCATTTTTATACTTATATTTATATTTACTATTTTGTGTCTGTGTGTGTGTGTGTGTGTGTGTGTGTGTGTGTGTGTGTGTGTGTGTGTTTATTACATAATGCAGCCACTACGGCTGTGCTTTGTCAGCAGCACATAACTTTACAGGGAGTAGGAAAGAGTCAACTAAACTAACGTTTTCGATACAACTAAAGATTAAAGGCCAATAAAATTTTAATGAGCTTTGTAACATTGTAATAGTTTGGTCAATAAAATTTACAATACATCGTAACAAACAAAAATCCCCTGTCCATTTAATTTAGAAACATTTTAGCTAAAAGTTTAGCTAAAGTTGTTAGCTAACTTTAATTAGTAGTAAATTAGGTAAAAGTCATATTTATTTATGTAAATAGTGAGATCTGTGGACTCGGTTAAAAAGCAGCTAAAAATTCATCTTTTTAAATGTGCTTTTGTAACCAATGCTGTTTTGGCTTTTAAATTGATTAGCCCTTTGTTTTATCCAACTAGAAAGTTCCTATAAAAATACATTTTTTCACTCATTTCTTACTTGCCATTACATTTCCATGAAGTGGAACTTTAAATTGTGTGAGAGGCAAATGTTTGATTTGATTGACTTCAAAGCACAGACTTGTTGAGACTTCTGTGAACCCCCTCAGACTGAAACACGCATCGTGGTAACAGACTCACCGTCAGGTCCACTCTCGGCTCCCACGCGCTCCTGTTTATCGGCAGCGCGTCACTGTCCCCGAGGATCTCCGTACTGACGGAATTCTGTCCGACGCGCGCCTGCCCGCAGCGAGAACACGCCAAAAGCGCGATCCCGAAACTGACCAGTAGCACCAACCAGCGGCTCATGACTGCAATCAAGATTTCATTAGACACTGTGATTAAAATCACTTCATGTACTGACATACCATTATCATCATCCTTTCTTAAACATACGGACTTTAATATCTCCACAAGAATAAACAAGAGACAGTAGCGGTCTAAATGGTTTCCATTTAAACCAGCAAATAAAATCACTCACTTTTCAGCTGTAGACTTTCTAATGGATGGAAGTAAATCGTCACAGTCCCGTGCAGTTTGCTGCTGCAGGTTTAAATTTCCCGTTGCTTCCTTTTTTTTTTTTTTTAAATTAAACCAACTCCCAGGAGCGCACGAAAATAAGAATAAGAAGACGAGCCTTCGCTTCAGTCCTGTCCTTCAGTGCAGGACAGGTGAGAGGAACCCGGACCCTGATCCACTTTATACAAATCAGATCCTCCCACATCCTTGGTCACGCGGAGCCCTAACCCGCCCCTGCAACGCTCACATCGATACCCCCACCTTGTCACCTGCATCCACGGCTGCAGGTGACAGGGTGACAGCGGAGGCACTGTTTAGCTGTAAAGCTCCATATGGTGAGTTTGCTGTTTTTGCCATTCAAAAGTCCCATTGGAAAAACAAAGTTTTACTGGAAACCTGAAACATGGTATAAAAAAGTGGAAAAGTACACACAACACACACACACACACACACCACACACACAAACACACACGCACACACACACACACACACACACACACACACACACACACACACACACACACACACATATGAAATGAAATGCATATTGAAAACAACAAAGTATACGTTCATATACAAGTACAAGTGAAGGTAAACCCAAATTAATTGTCGCAAATTTAAATATAATAAAAAATTAAAATAAATACAAAAAAATGCTGTCCTTCTAAAATGTGTTTTCAGCAGATGTTTTAATCAAACTACATATCCATTCAATATGATTGATGGGGCTATGGATTAGGTTATCCTTCTGACTCACTTGTATGTGAAATTCCTTGAAGTGGTAGTGGTGAGGATCTCAGTAATCTGAGCTCTCATTTTGATATATCACTGAAATGGCAGGAAAGACTGACCTGCTCGAACTCTTGTGTCTCCACATCAGTGATTCTTTTAATAAAAAGCTCATTAAACCTAAATCTGGTGATAAAGTGAGCAAAGGGCTTATCTTCAGGAGTAATTAACAGTGTGTAGGAATAAAAATATTTCAGCCTGAAGTGGAATTGTGACAACAGCTTGTACATTGGGGCGATCGTGGCTCAAGAGTTGGCAGTTCATCTTGTAATTGAAAGGCTGCCGGTTCGAGCTTGGGCAAGACACTTCACCCTACCGCCTACTGGTGTTGGCCAGAGGGGCCGATGGCGCGATATGGCAGCCTCGCTTCTGTCAGTCTGCCCCAGGGCAGCTGTGGCTACAACTGTAGCTGCCTCCACCAGTGTGTGAATGAATAGGGGTATTGTAAAGTATATAGTAAGTAAACTATATAAACGCAATCCATTATTATCTCCTACACACACAAACCTTTTACTTATCTCTCCATCTCCATGACCTTTCTCAGACACATTTAACCTTTCCACACCTACAAAAGGAACAACACATGAGTGCGTGCGTTTTTATTGTGTTGATAAGATTGGATGCTGTAATCGTCAGATTAACACACCTACAGGATCAGCATTACACTCACACATCCCCTTACTGAAATGTCAGTTAGTCTACAGTAAATTAACCGAACCACATTAATAAGATGCTGTTAGCACCATGCACTTATGTCTTAAAGTGAAGCTGTATGCGAGATATCACTAGTCTAACAGACCTCATGGGAAACATTAAAAACACACATTATACATACGAAGGGACGGGGGAGCTGGAGGTTCACTAACAGCAGGAGGGTCAGGTCTTGCATTTCTTATATTGATAAGATGTATAGAAGTCTATGAAAAATTCAACACGTTCTCACTCCAAAAGCATAACATGCTACACTATGTGACAAATCGTCAGTATGTTACGCTTTCGGCCACCCAACACGTTCCTATGTTACACGTGCGGAAACAGGAATAAACATGAGAAGACTGAATCTACACGTGTACATTCATCTTACTTTCTCACCATGAATCGCTTTGGAAACACTTTCTAACACGATGTTGTGGTTAAGGTTAGGGATAAGGTTATCGTTAAGGCTAGGTTTGGGGCTGGAATACATGGCTGGAACATGTCTTAGCGTCGGGAGCGTCATACTATTGGATTTCATCCCCAATCTGGAACATATCATAGGGATGCAGAAGGTTACCTTTCGCGTTCCCATGGGCCGCCTCGGGACATGACAAATCGTTGGCATGTTATGCGTCAGGAATGAGAAAACACTTCAGGTTAGTCTAGCCCCTTTTCCCTTCATGGAACAAGGTCTATCTACACCTGCCCACCAGCTCGGTCTGTGTTTTATTTACTACCTGTCTTGATCCCACTTCTGTCACTTTGATGTCTGGAACAAGGTCTTGACTGGATGGAAAGTGTTTCATGGTTGTCCCTGCTTTCTCTTTCTTCATGGGTTCCCAGTGAGGGAGTCTCTAGTGTTTTTGGCTTTGTTAGGGAGTACCAAAGTCATCCCACCTTCATCTCAGACTATCTTCTTCCATTGTGCTACCTGCTGTGTTGCTGAGGTTTTGGGGTGGAAGGGTTTGGCTCAGGCACTGCCATGTTCAGTTTGTCCATGGCAGGTTTTGTAGGTCTCCATGTCAGAAGTGTTGATGCAGTTTGGTGTGTCGGCAGATGTTTTCCTCATCTGGGCCTGATAATCACATCTGTATCTGGTTAAATGTGCTTATCTATCACCCTGCCAATGTACGTGAAGGACTCTGCTTGTTCTAGAGGTTCACCCTCCAGGTTCTTGGCCTGTTGATGTTAATTCCCTGGAATGTAAAATAATCAGCAAAGTCAAAGTCATCCAAAGTGTCCACTGGATCCCAGTCCTCTTTCTAGTGAAAGTCTTCATGATCCAGGCAATAACCGGCAGGAGTAAAACAGTGACCACCTTCCTGGTGAGTTTATGGTATCACTCACAAATTTTCCTGAGTAAAACATGATGTTCATTCAGTCCCAGTAGAGCCAACATAACAGGTTAAACAGGAAATCCATATATCATAAATCCAATACAGTTATAGTTAAAAATACAGTTCAAAATCCACAATCTGTGCCCCCTACACATTTCCAGTGGGCCAGTTTAGAGTCTTGCTGGTCGATCCTGGTCACTGGGCCTTATGCTTGACTCCACTGCTTCAGAGGAGCAGCCAGATTTAGAAGCATGAGGAAGTGGCATTGGAGTGATAAACGGTTAAAGTCCAATTAATTGAGTTCTTAATAAAACAGTTTAGTTACTTTTTGGAGATAATAACTATACACTAAGCACTATTAGGCTACTTCAGCTCAGAAACCAAAAGTAGGTAAATGAATGAAAAAAGACTCAGAGGAGTCGATTGTTATAAAGAAGTAAAAGTTTCAGAGAAACAAAAGACATACTAGTTTTTCTTGTGAAGTTGTTGTAGGTGTAAGGTAGACCCCCATCAGCTATTGTAGGGTCTACCTTACAATATAAAGTGCCTTGAGGCGACTGTTGTTGTGATTTGGCACTATATAAATAAAATTGAATTGAAGTCATCAAGTGAGCATTCATGCAACATATACACAAACACAGAAGAGGAGGCAGGTTTAGCGTGAGGAGGAAAAGAAAGAGTCAAACTTCTCTGTTTGTCTCTGAAAAAGTTAAACTGACCACACAGGAACAGTGAGAGGAGGACTCCTCGGTTTGATTCAAAGCTTTATTCAGAAATGAATTTCATGCTTTTACAAATGAGCTGTGGGTAGAAGGAGAATCAGGTCAGAATGTTTTCCACTCTTGTTCTCTCTCTGATGTAGCACACAGCAGGAAGTAGTAGCTTCAGACACGTTGTTACTACAGGAAATATTCTGTGTGGTTGAGGCGACGGAGCTGGACACTATGAACGAGGGGGCTGGGAGGTTAAGCAGCAGCTCGATTGTGATGTACTGTGTACTTCTACCAGATGACTCTCAACAAGAAAACTGTGTTTTATTTGTTGCCTTTGTTAGGTCATAAAGACAAATCTCTTTACATATTTGTATGAAAAAAATTATATCCCCAGTAATATGTTCTGTTGCATTGCTGCGCTGCTGCTGCTGCTGCTGCTCACCGTTGCAAGTTAAAGCAACAGAACAATGACTCCACCCTTAGGATGACATCTGTAACTGCAACAAACAGACACGAGGGCCAAGATTAAACATGGTACTGGTTTTATTTACAGTGAGTGAATAAACATGTGTCTGTGATATCTGAGATCCTGCCTGGTTGAGCCCTGATGTTTTCTCTATATCTTTTGCTTTCACATAGACTTCTACACTTAACACTTACACACACTTAACAACAAAAACCAAACATTTCAGCAAGAATCTGTAAGCATCTGGGAACTGAGGAGACCAGCTGCTGCAATAAATGTTATTAACCTTTGCCCAGTTAACCTAGTTATTTACAAAATGTTGCTTCAGGCGATTCTCCTTAGTAGTTTTGAACAGTTTGCTGCCTCTCTCCTGACTTTTTTGTGTTGCTGCCATCAAATTCAAAATTAGCTAATATTTTTCTTTTAAACCTCTAATATGTTTTTAATGTTCTTTTGTAAATGAAATATGAATTTAATAATCATATTATTTTATAACTCTATCGTATAAACTCCTATAGAGGTTTGATAATTTGTATGTTTTTATTTGAATTGTACACAAAATTCCACCTGTTTTGGCACTGGGGTTGTATTGAAGTCCCATTTATCTATCAACATTACAATGCACTGTAGGTTAGATATATAAACAGTAAATATCAGAAAATTATGAAGGACAAAAGACAAACAACAGCCTCCCATCAGAGGACCAGTACCAGTACCAGCCCTGGCCATTTCACCAGCACTCTTAGAAATTTGAGCCCAGCATGTCTAATCTGTCCAAGATATCCTACAATAGTCACCTTGCAGGTGCCTGTGCTCGATGGAGAGTAACTGCACAGCCAGCAGCAACTTGTCTATACTCTGGTTTCCCATCAGGCTCATGTCAAAGACCAGAGGTTTATCCACATTTTGCAACTAACCATAAAGAGCTGCTGGCTTCTAAGTTTTCTAAATCCATTGTTTTGACACAGAGACTTCAATTACATCAACATGCAGGACAGATTTCAAGCAGGGTTAAGCTTGCTTCCAGAGAAAGTGGCCAGCTGCAATGCCAGTAATTTAAAATATGGTGTAAACACCTGATGAGAGAAGCTTTTGGGACAGAACCCTGTTTAAGTTGCAGGGAAAAA